CATGGTACCATTTTGTGTTGTTGTTACCAAATGTGGAGTGAAAATATTTGTTTTTGAAGGGGAAAAAAGTCCACTTTTGACCATTAAAGGACATTTATTAAGGTTACAATGACTGCATGAGTTTGAATCGTATACATGTAATCCCTGTGAGTGAGACAATTTGATTTTAAAAAAGAAACCCTGTGTCACTGTTAAATTATGAGCCATGATCGATTTTTGGCTATGAAAATGGCACATCTAAGGTAATGTGTAGTATGGCAATGTCTTATTATGCTATATTTTTGAATATAACAATGTCATATAATATAATAATCCCAGTTATGTGGCATTGCATCATACAGTTTTATAACAGTATGATATGTGCCACAATGCCACACGACACAATTTATTGACTTGATAATTAATTAACTTGAACGGTGGTTTACAGGCAAAGTTCAATATCTTGTCTTGCCCATTTCTTCGTCCTTATTTAATGCTACAAACCGCAAGCTCATTTTAGTGAAAAAAATGCCAATTTTTGCACATTTATCTGTGTCTGTTTCCAGAACTTCCTTTTTTAAATTCTAGTCTTCTCTGCAATACAATACTGCTCTTTCTACTTTTCATCTTTCAAACACCACTGACCGAGTGCGCTGACGTGTTTGTTACGTCAGGGTGTGTCTACAAAAAAATTAAATAAAATCCAAGAGCTGTTAGTGGAGGTGGAGCTGGCCTTGGGTGGAGGTGGACATGGAGCCAGCTCTGGGTGGAAGCGGAGCCGGGCCTGGTGCAGCTGTAGCAGTGATAAGCCCAGGCCCATGACTGAGCACTGGTCCCACGACCCATACATCAGACTAGCCCAATGGGAAATGTCCCGGTCCTCCTGATTAGACACTCACCTCACTTTTTCTAGAATATGCTTGAACACTAAAACTTGACTGATGTTTCAGTGACTAATTCAAGTTGACCGACTTAGACTGAATATTGGGTTTGCAAGCAATTACTTTTTCAGAAGTACAGAGTAAAGCTCAAATGTTAGCTACTGTAAAAGCTAAATAGATGACTAAGACAAAAGAGGTAAAATGTTGAGAATATTCACAACGAAGCATCACCTTCATGATATTGGAATATTAAGCAGAAAGAAGCTTATCTTCTATTTTCTTCCTTCTAATTAATTTTTTAACTAATTGTGACTATTTTTTGCAAATCTGTTCTTGTTGTTGTCGTTGTCATTATAAACAACTATATCTATTTAAATCACAGGTTCTAGGACAGAAGGCATGGTCATTGCTTTATGAAATTACTAAGCACGATGGTGGTCAAGATGATAGCAAATGTGAGAAAAGATAAATGTTATGTAAAATACGCCAGCATATCATTGTGACACTGTGACCATAAATTGGTCACATCTTTGTCCCTAAATATTACTACTACCTAAATTAAAGAAAAAAACTCTACTTCTTTACATCAGTATGACTACAGTAGATGTACCCTTTTATTCTCTTTGTTTAAGCTGTTCCCAGTATGAAAAACTAACATGTTAAAAAGCTGTTGATAACTTTTCTTGATTAATCAGAAAGATTGTTTTGGTTAGAGATTCTCACACCCTCAATTCAAATTCAGGCTCAATTCAATTCAGGGTCAATTCATCTCACAAGACCCTCGGAGCATGTGGAGGGGCATTAAGTGCATAACAGATTATAAAGGAAGGAGCGAATAATGCCCCAAAGACCCATCTCTGCCTGATGCCCTCAACAAGTTCTATGCATGCTTTGAAGACCCGAACAGACCACCCAGCACCACACTCACCTCACCACCGGATGAAGAGCATCTCAGCGTGACCTCAGCAGAAGTAAGGAGTACTTTCAGGAGGATTAATCCGCACAAGGCAACTGGTCCAGACAACATCCCCAGAAAAGTGTTGAAGGAATGTGCTGATCAGCTCTGTGAGGTGCTGGCAGACATCTTTAACACCTCACTTATCACTTACCCTGGAGACAGATCCCACCTGCCTGAAGACTGCCACCATCATCCCAGTCCCAAAAAGCTCTACAGTGATTGGTCTGAATGACTATCGGCCAGTGGCCCTCACCCCGATAGTCGCTAAATGCTTCGAAAAACTGGTCATGACTCACATCAAAACAACCATCAACATGAACGAGGACAATCATCAGAATGCATACCGTGAGAACCGATCAACAGAGGATGCCATTTCCTCTGTGGTCCATACTGCTCTCAACCACCTGGAGCAGAAAAACTCTTATGTCCGTATGCTCTTTGTGGACTTCACATCTGCCTTCAACACCATGATCCCCCAAACCCTGATGGACAAACTATCCAC